GGCTCGAACCAAGTACGGCCAAAGACAAAGTGTGCTGATTACTTCGAAAGGGGCTTCTGTGCGCTGGGCAGCCTTTGTCCACATGAGCATAGTGACGCCGCAGTGACTGTTTCGCCTGACGAGATTCCCGAGTATGATCCAGAGCAGTCATTTCTTGCTGTACAGCCGCAAGGGTTGTTCAGCAAACAAGCAGTTCCTAGTAGCCAACGTCGTCCGACCAAGAATCGTAGACCGCGCTCATCGTTCTCTTTGCCAGGCTATTCCCATGATCGATCAAATACCACGCTTGTCGTCGAACAGATTCCACAAGAATACTTCAATGATGACGGTATACGGACCTACTTCTCAGAGTTTGGTGAGATTGCTAATCTCGAGTTGCATCCTAAGAGGCGGTTGGCAGTCATTAGATTCGCCAACCGCCAGGCTGCTAATCAAGCCTACCATAGCCCCAAGGCCGTGTTCGAGAACCGATTCGTCAAGGTTTACTGGTATGGCCCGGACACAGGGGAGAAGCTGTCTCTTGAGAAGAATGAAGATATTGACATGGAGGACCCGAAAAACAAAGAAGAAGAAAGACTTGACTTAGAGGCTATTGCGATTAGACAAGCTGAAGCGCAGAAAGCATTCGAAGAGCGCCGTCGTAAGGCCCAGGAAGCAGATGCGAGAGCCGCAGAGATTGAGAGACAGCTGGAGGAGAAGAACAGAGAGATAGCAGAGATTAAGCGCCAACTTGCAGAACTATCAGGTGATCCATCGGACGAGTTCTCACAGACCCTTGCAACGCTTCAAGCAGAGGCTGCAGAACTGTTCGATCAGCATGGTCCCGATGAGCCCTCGCCCAGTGATCGCGGCCATGGTGCTTTCCGTGGAACTTATCGAGGTCGTGGATACTTCCCACCTCGGGCCAGAGGCTATGCACCTTATCGGGGCGCGTATCGTGGTCGTGCAGGTGGTTTCGCTGGTCGCGCTGCAAACAAGAAACTGGATAATAGGCCTAGGCGCCTAGCTGTCACGGGTATCAAGCCTGATTCACCGAGGGATGAATCCTTGAGACAGCATCTTCTTGTAAGTGGAGATTGTTCGTGTATACATCTCCGTCTGCTAATGATATCTCTAGAACATCCCTGATTGTAGTATCGAACGTCACCCCGAGCAAACCGATGCCCTCATCCTAACCTTCAAAGAACGATATCAGGCTGAGGATTTTCTGGATCAGTCCCTCAGTATTCCTGACGTTGGTAAACTTGAGCTGGCATGGGTTCCTAACGACGCATTTGGTGGTCTCAAGTCTGTCACGACTACAACTGACGCTTCTGCAGCGAATTACGACGATGATGATGACTCGTCCGCTACCATCGGAGAGCAAGAAATCAAGGTTGAGGAAGATGAAGGTCATCAGATGGGTGGAGTGGACGCGGATATGGATGTTGCGGATGATGTGGACGAGTGGCTGTGAGTGATACCCTAGGTAGGTGCCATGCTCCAAAACGTCTTTGTAACGTCTTTTTTCTTCATTGTTATCACTATGCATTTTTGTGATGTTGCGAGTTTTCGTGGACAACTTGCGAGGTGCGTTGGAGCGACCGTTGATAGGCGACTTTCGAAAGTTCTCAACAATTTCGGGACAGGCTTTTCGCATTTGTGCAATAAATTGATCCACTGATACATATCCGTACAACGCATTATTTCCATGGTCTTGCACCACCTTGACGACGTTTATACTCTTGCTCCCCACCTCAATACTGATATTACACTATTACCAACTCCATCCATCCCCTCCGTTACACCTTTCACCCTCCTCGGTCCCTCATGCCACGTGCCACTCCTTTTAAGCGTGTACTCACAACATAGCCTGCATCCTCTTTACTTCATCCCCCTGCACGCCGCTGAACCAACCCACACGATCCTTGATGAACAGCTCACTCTGTGGTTTCAATTTGGTCTCTACTAGATTGAAATCATCCACAGTACCCAAGCGTAGGATGGAACAGCCAGGAAAGCCGCCGCCGACTCGGTACATGAGCGTACCGCAGGTTTTGCAAAAGTGATTCGCCATTGAGTGGCCTGAAGCTATCGTTGCAACTTGACTGTAAACGGAGAGGTTCTCCTGGCCGCGGAGGTGACGGAGATGACTGTGGTATGTCAGTTGGGCTGTTGTTTTTCCACGATTCGGCCTGTATGATATGGCATTGGTGAGGTGGGGAAGGACTTACCTATCCTTGACAGTAAAGTTAGAAGCAAACATACTCGCGGTAATCTTTCGACAGTCGGTGCAGTTACACACGAACGTCGATACCAAGCCAGGTCCTTCGACTGGGAAAGCGAGTTGGACAGTGCCGCAATAACATGTCGCTGTTGCTTCCTCAGCGTTGGAGTACCCATCCTTTGCTTGGCCTGCGAGAGGGAAGTAAGGCACTGATTTATCGGAAGAGCGGACAGAAGACATGGCTATTGCTATAGGTAGTGTTGTTGCTATGGCTGGTAATGTTGGTGAAGAACCTCTAGGTTCATACGTCCCAGTGATTGTTGAAGTTCGTGTAGATGGCTGGGTGGAATAAGCTTGTGTGTGGTATGATGTCGCTGATGAACTTAGTGCCGGACCAGAGGAGTGTCGCGCGTGTGTTAGTAGAGGGGGCGTTGTCGTTGCCGAGGTAGTCGCAACTGATGTTGTTGATGAATCGCCCCAAGTAGCAAAATCTTGTATGTTACTTCCTCGGGCCAGGAACATGGAACTTGCTTTCTTCCTTAGGGATGAGTTGGAAGGCGGCGTGGAAAGTTCCTTCCGTTGCTCTGTCACCAGAAGTGTCGATGAACTCTTCGCTTTTCGTATCGGTGATGGCGACGGAGGTGGGCTGTCGGTCCCAGGAATATGTAAATCAGGATTCAAGCGCTGGGCTATCTGCTTGATGAACTTCATGATTGCTGACCTCCCCTTGTCTCCTTATAACCGCCCCTTCCTGCCGTCTCTCGAGTTCTGTTGCACAAAGATTTGTAAGGTGAGGATTACAAATTCGCGATTGCTGTTCTTGTTGGTCGGTCAGATATGCAGGTCGTCTCTCCCACGTTCAGCTTGCTAGCTGACTGGTTGTTGCTGTTGTTGTGTTGCTCTGTCAGCTAGGTACATGTCATTTCGTCATCGATGTTATTACAACAAACGGCGGTAAATCCGACTCCGCATCATTACACACTGCAAATCCACATGTTAGTGACCGAGAACCCCTGGTTCTGTACGACGATGAAAAGGGATCCGTTGATGGGACTTGTTTTGGTCTCTCGGCCAGGAAAAACAATTATGGCGCGCGCCGCGTGCGTTCGTTGGGACGACATCACGCTTTGTCCTGTTGATCGGCGGCGTTAGCGGCGTTTGTTCGTTCCTGGCGTCATGCAGGGATGCATGCTACGGATTATGGGGATTTCGGGGATTTGGTAAGCAGTATCGGCTACGAGCGTTGGCCACGTTGATGTTGAGCATCGAGGCGCTACTCGATACTGCATTAGAGTAAATTCTGGTGTGCACCCTTATTTCGTTAGACGACATCGGAATCCCCATAAGAATCCGATGATCTTCACATGCGAAACCTCGATTTCGATGAGCCTTCTGAGTGCCTGAATGAGCCGGTGCACGTGTCCTCTTGTGCTCTTCTCTTACTTCCAATACTTACTCCATGATCTCGCTCTGCCTCGCTCCTTCGACTCCATGGAACCAATTCACCCTATCCTTAACAAATATCTCCCGCCTGGGTTTCAGTACTCCCTCCATCAGACTCAGATCGTCCACCGTACCTGTCAGAATCAGCCTGCGCCTGTTCAAATCACACAATGATAAGACTTACCCAATCTCAATAGATCGACACCTGGATACGCCTCACTAAGCCTGTACATGATGGTCCCACATGTATTGCAAAAGCAGTTCGTCATGGCCAGCCCAGAGCTGATAGTCTGGGACTGCGAGAACTTTTTAAGACTCTCCTCTCCGCGCATGCACTTGACAGCGGAAGATGCCACAACGAATGCGGATGTAAACGCTGAAGCTGTGATCTTTCGGCAGTCAGTGCAATGGCAGACGAAGACATCTATAAGACCTGGAGCAGTGGTTGGCTGGAGCATCTATTAGTTGTCCGAGTGGTAAAAACCAATTACCGGGAGGAATATGTAGGCTCGTGGTTTCCTCTGTTTTGTTGTAATGGAGCTCGAAATGTTGACTTACGAAGGCTAATTGTACAGCTCCGCAATAACAAGTAGCCGTTGCTTCACCATCTCTAGAATAACCATCTTGTTTTAGACTGTTGTTCGAGATGTTGGGCTGTTTCTTATCGTAGGCGGACATGATTGTGGTTTTCCTTGTCGCTTTGCCGGAATAATTCGCGTTATGCAGAAAGAAAACAAGAAGATGATGATATGATAGAACGGAAACACAAACATTTGCAATGATATTTAAGCCGATTCAGCGTGGTCAAACTCATGTTTACTTGGGTGGATTTACGTGTTGATGTTTCCGGAGTGAGAGCATCTCCGACCCTCCTCTTTTTCACTCCGCGGACTCCGCCAACTATCACGCACTAGGAGCAGCCCGATTTCCGTGACACTCTAAACCCTCTATCAGAACCCCATCGGCGGACATCAGTACTATGACATCCTCTGCTAGGTAGAAGGCCCGCAGCAATAGCTGCAACTTGCTGTGTCTTGATTAGTAGTACTTTAGTCGAAACAACCTCGGACGAATCAACACGGATGGTCGATGTGAGTTTCGAAACGTCTGGCTTGTATGCTTCTAGTCTGATGTAAGGATTAATTCATGTTGGTTTCTATGCTTCGAATGATAGAAAGAGAAGCGTCGCAGTATTGAATTAGTAGGGCGTTCTAGAGTGGAGCGGACTCGACCGCCTGATTGAAACAACGATGTTGTTACACATGGTGCCAAGCGGCGTAGCAGTCGGATCATCATACCAACAAGATCATCGTAGCTGCTTTATATGCTCTAAGATCCATAATCTTGCTCATCATAGCTTGCTCTGCTTTCCCTGCCCCAGGACAACTACCAACTTGCCAAATTGACTAGCGCTCTTCATATCATCAAACAGCGTCTCAATCTTGTCAATATCCAGACCCTGCACACTTCGGCTGACAACAGGCCTCATCTTCTTCTCCTTCACGAACTGTACCATATCGGCGAATTCTTTCCGTGAGCCCATGGTAGAGCCACGGACTTCGATGTTGCGCAACACAGCGGACATGAGGAAATCCATCTTGGGGGAGACGGTCATGCCGTAAATAGAGATGATGCCGCCAACCTGTTGCAATGTTAGATGATAGCCTGAGAAAAGGCGGGCGGGGAAGAGAACGAACCTTGAGTATTTTACTACCCACTTTGACCACGTCGCCTCCCGCGCCATCGACAATGGCATCGAGATATTGTCGGTCCTTGGGCAGCATAGCCTGCAGTTTCTTGTCCCAGTCCTTCTCCTTGTAGATTACACCACCCTTGGCACCCAGCTTGACCGCCTTGTCAATCTTCTCCTGGTTTCCGCTGGTCACGTACACGTTGCAGCCCTGTGCCACGGCGAATAGCAGAACCATGAGCGCGACACCGCCTCCAATGCCTGTAACCAGGATATTTCGCCCTGCAACTGCATTTCCGCTCTTGACCCAGAATGCGCGCCAGGCTGTGAGACCAGTCAGAGGAAGCGCTGCGGCCTCCTCGTCACTGAGGTGCTCGGGACACTCTTCTAGTTCGCCTGCGTCTAGCACACACACGTCTTGTAATGTACCTGCAGGGTTGCTCTTGGTGCCACCCATTATCGCATATCCCTTTGGATGTTCTGGGCCCTCGAGGCTGTCCTTCCAGCCTATGCCGGGGTTCAGGAGCACGCGCTTGTTCAGCCATGATTTCGCGGAGGATGACGTGCCGGTCGAGCTAACGATGCCGACACCGTCTGCGAGAAGGGGGACGCCGAAGGTTGTGCCGGGGTAGAGGTGCTGGCGGATGAATAGGTCGCGATGGTTCAACGCGGCGCCTGTGATGGTTATGACGGCCTGGGTGATGATCGTTAGCTTGCGCACAACGGACGGCATGTCTCAAGTCCACCTACATCGTTGTCTTTTGGCTTTGGCTCGGGAACAGTTATCTTCTCGAGAGGGTAATAGACTTGTCCTGGCTTGCCTTCGACCTGTCTGATCACAATGGCTGAAGGCATGGCTGCAGAGCTAAATCGAATCTAGTTAAAGTAACACGCGTGAGGTATTATGACAGCGCGAGCAGGCTAAGGTGGATTCCCGGTTAGATATATGCAACCTTTATGGGAGGAGAGATCGCTCGAATGGCTATTCATGATTGTCGTGCTCGGTTGCATGACGAAAGACCGTCTGGACCGAGGTCGCGTTCGGAGCTGTGGACATGCTTATCGATCGATGCGGGGAACGCGCAGGACGGACATAACTCGGTCTTCACATATCATACATTGTTTTTTTGGGCACTCATTCGAGCTACATCACATTCCATTATCGACATTTCGTGCATACTTGGTAGAAAGTCGCAGTACCATATGTTGACCATTACTCGGGCTGCACGTCTTCGCTCACGGCCGCCACCTGAATGAGGGATGTCTCCAATCGAGATCCTCAATTTCTCCCTCTGATTTGCCAGCCAATTCCTGATCAACATCAATGCTTTCGCGCTGCTTGTTGCTTCTGTTCATCCAGAGCAAGAGGAGAGTGCTCGATATCAAAATCGTACTGCTGGTCGCCAGATTAAGCCCATTACCGATAGGGTAGTTGGGAGCATCTGTGGGTAAGAAGCTCCAGGTCGAAATCAAACCGCCTATGTTGCCAAACATGACAACGGTACCTGATTTTAAAGTCAGAATTCATACTGCTTGTAATTCGCGAGTTGAAGTACTTACCGATAGCGGATGCTCGCGCGGTATCAGATACAACGTTAGCCGAGCCTTGCGCGTTACAGAGAGCACCAAACGAGAATGCTCCAGACGCAATTAAGAAGGTAGCTCCGTATCGAACCATTGCTTCGGTGCTGGCCAAGAACATGATGTATCCGATCATCATGAGTGGAGCTCCTAGAATGAAGAAGATCGTGCGCCTGTCGTATCTCCAACTGAGGAAGGGTAGGAGGACCGTGAAGAAGGCACCTACGACATATGGTGGAACGGTGTGGAGCTGCTGCGAGACAACTGAATCTCGAGGGTATATCGTCCTGACGATGGTAGGCGCGAAGAAAGCAAGACCCTGCACCGTGATATTGTCGAGCAGGAAAATGAAAGAGGTCGTCAGTACTACAGGGTTGAAGATACCACGAAGCGTCTTCTTCGTATCTAGTTTGTCCAGCACCTCGTTCTGGCCAACACGCTCAGACTTGACACGAGCAATGGCCAGATCTTTTTCCGCTTGAGTCAGCCAGCGCGCAGTCTCCGGGCGATCCGTCAGCGTTACGAAAGAGATAAGTGCCAGACAGCAGGTGACTATGCCCTCAATCGCGAAAATCATCCTCCAGCGTGTAAGGGAGCCGAAGGAGTCGAGTGTGAGAATCGCTGATGCCAATAATCCTCCAAAAGCACCTGCTAGAGGAGCCATGACGATGTATAGCGACAGTCTGAAAGCAAGCTCAGAGCGCCTGTACCAACGGGACATATAGTATGCGATACCTGGTAGCATACCAGCTTCGAAGATACCCAGAAGGAAGCGAACTCCACAAATCGCACTGATATCATGGACAAAAGCCGTGCCAATCGATGCAATGCCGAAGCATAGTGAGATGATGGGAATGAACCATCCAGGACCTATCCATTTACAGCAGATGTTGGAAGGAATCTCGAAAATAATGTAGCTGATGTAAAAGATAGAGAGGACGGTGTTGTAATCATAGCCAGTGAGTCCAAGATCCTTTTCGAGACCAGCTAGGCGAGCGTTTCCGATGTTGGCACGATCGATGAAACAAAATAGGTAGAGGAGGGCCACGGTCGGAATGATGTACAGATCAATCTTCAGCCTGAGACGCGACTCAGCCTTCTTATCGAACTCCATCAGGGCATGTCCGTAGCTGTGCAATTGTTAGATGAGAGACGCGTAAAGGTGAGGGCGAAATCACATGTCTGTGGCAGCATGACCGTGTCCTGCAATCTGGTGCGCGTCCTCATTCTTGAGATCTTCATGATGGCTGGGCGTGTACTTTTCGGCGGAATAATCCGTCTGCGCTTGAGCCATGGCGGAGTGATAATGGGATCAAAAAAAGAAAGACAACCTTCGCAACAATGGCAAGTCGTAACGCCGCACCTTGGCTTTATACTCCACACTCTTCGGCGGATTCCCCTTCACACCGGACCGCACCTGGGCCCGGCCAGTGTCCTTGTCAGCGCGTACTTTGATGGAGCGCGTGTGCGCCAAGTGTGATGGCTGTCGTAACTAGCACCCAAAACGGAGACGCGCCAGATGCACGGTCACATAAATCTCCACTCGGCGTGGAGGCGGACCTACCCCGGACTCCACGATGATCGGCGACCGCATCTATCTGGAGGCGAACAGCCGTAGCGATTACTCCACATGCCGTCGGTTGTCAGGTTCGGTATCTGGTCGTGTTTAGCTGAAGATTTGGTACAGAGCTGAGTCCAGCTGCATCACCAGGCGAAGACTTTATCCTACCCCGCGACGCCACGACGCTTGGTATTCGGAGGGATCGGAAACTACGACATGTCAAGTTGTTGATAGGCTGATAGTCTATGGCTTGTTCAATATCCATGCGGAGACAAGGGGTGTATCTTGTTTGCGCATATGTAAGTTAAGCGGTCCAGCGAAGAACATGGTCTTCGCTAAATTTTGGAGTGCTTGTGGAAAAGCTTTCATCCGTTGAGTTAGTGTATTCGGCCCTAGTCACGTTAATGATAAGAATCGATGATATTTATTTGTAGAGGACGAAGAAAAGCTTCATTCTACGTTGTTGTCTACAAAGACTGGCAGAGCCTTAACACGACGAGGTAGCCATCTTCTGATGTAGTAGAACGACACAGAAAAGGTGCCACAATATCTAGATTCTAGTTCGAACTTGGATGTAAGTGTCTGTTACACTTTTGAAACTGACGTTCAATAATCAACCGGCGACTCCGAATTAGATACCGTGTGCTATAGATCCTGTGCTTCTACAGTCAATACGCTTCGGCATCAAAGTTGGCGCCGCTGCCAGCGCATCGAAGGTAGGTACGATAACGCTACCCAGCCACACCAAGTCAGATGTTTCTACAATATTTGTTTCAGATAGCGGTGCCCCTCATATCAAAATGTCATACTCTGTTAACCCAAGGCAAAGCATGTCTCGCCTTCCAACGATGCAGGGATACCTCACGAAAGCTTGACATGTCGTCAAGAGCTGGTATAGGAAACAGATGATGAACTGGAGATCCCAAGCGCTCTGGACAAGCAAGCCTATTCCTTTTCCATCAGTCCCTGGTCTATTCTTGAGTGTCAGCTCATCTCACCGTCTATGTTAAAGGGAGCCAAGTGTACATCTTGCCATTCTTACGCAGCGAGAATGAAGCGGGATGTAACATTCCATGCTTGAGGCCCCTGCGGTGCGCTACAACGTTGCGCTCTGCTGATGTTGTCCTTGTTCTTCGAAGTGATAGTAACGTAGATGCCGTAACTCATCAGCCTACAAACACACACTCGAAAGCTTCCCAGCATGCTAACAAAGTGGCTCTCTGCATGGAATGGACGCATAGCAGACCGGATCGTCGCGATAGTTTGTTTGGGTCTTGAGTCAAGTTCATTGTGAGGATGATGGAGTAGGTATCAGCCCACGCGCATGTGATGACACGGTAAGTAGGAAGATGAGTATTTTTCTTTTTTTAAGAATTCACACATAGATAGCTATCATTCCGAAGATATCATCGTAACCCTTCTACTCCATAGTCACTGGAGCTCTGTTCGTATGATGCTGTCTCTCCTTCTCTGACATATTGTCGATGACATTTTCTACTCTCCTTTCAGCAGCCAACAACTTCTCCATTTCATCCTCTTCGAACTCCAACATCTGCTGCGTAAGAGCATGGAACCCCGCCGTCCCATTTTCCATTTCCAGGAATTTGCCTGCTGCGCTGTATACCAGCTCTCCGTGACGCCTCTTATCAGCCATCAACAGCGCTACAGAACGAGCGACAACATCTGCCGACTGCACAATGGATTCGCCTAGAGCAGCAACAATAGTGCGAGGCACAATAGCTGTGTCGGTCCAAGACGGGGCGACGGCGTTGATACGAATCGGGAGTTTGGGGTGGAGTTGGGGTTGCAGAGCACGTACAAGCCCGAGAACAGCGTGCTTGGCTGAGGCTTAATGCGTGTTAGTCCCTAGACTTGATGTTACTTGGTAAGACGTACTATAATCCTCAACCGGGAATCGTTGGAAGCTTGATCCTGAAGCTGTTATGACGATACTTCCACCATTCGGGTTCTTCTGAATGTAATGTATGGCTAACTTCACTGTGTATATCACGCCGATCAAGTTGATGTTGATTGTGTCTAGCATCGGTGCAAGCAGGTCGCCGTTTTCGTCGACGCTATCGTCCAGCAAGGTCGTTGACTTTCCAATTCCTGCATTTGCAAAAACTTGGTCAATCTTCCCGTATTCCTTTTCTGTCGCTTTGAAAACATCGAGTTGCTCTTTCCAAGACGAGACATCAGCCTTCAAGAAAGGGACGGATGACGACTCGGGCTCAGGTAGCGGATTGACGTCGCATGCAAAAACTTTGCCTCCGTGCTTGATAATTCTTCGAAGTGTTGCAAGCCCAATTCCCGAAGATGCCCCTGTTGTACATCAGCAGGCTGTAAGGAAGGTCTGAACATGGTGTTCTACCTGTAATGACAGCCACTTGACCTTTCAACTCATCAAGTTGGCTGTCTGAGATGGTAAAGCTCGTCATTGTGGTGACTTAGGTAGTGGATTTGAAAAATGATTGTTAGTACACTTGCAAGAGTGATGCCTGGACCCGAAACAGGTAGAGGAATCGGATGTAGACAAACAAGTAGTGTGTTGTAGAGGCTGGATTAAACTGCCAGAGAAGCAGCAAAAGCAATTTGATGAACCTTGAAGCGTTGAGCGTAAATCGGCTGCGGCGCAAATCTTATAGCATAGCGCAGATGGAGAGTCGCCTGAGCAGACAACTATGCCGTACCACAAGCTCGGGACGTAAGGAGTGCCCCGCATTAACGTACGACTCCGCCGGACCACCATATTGTTCGGGTAACTGTATCACTGCGGCCAAGATGCATGGAGATAGAACCAAAGACTATGTACCTGGCGTTTTGTAGGGTTTCCTATTGGCTAATATGCTTACGCCTATTTGTGTCAGGTTGCTAGCTTCAGGTTGTGTCCAGGATAGCGGACTTTCTGCTATGCTTACCTAGCAGAGGAGCAACGAGTACTCAGTAAGGACGTACGGCTTGACAAGGAAGACGATGCTGCTCTCGCTGGAGTTGACAGTCGGGACAGGTTCTGTTCCAATGCAGCATCAAAAGCAGTCTGCTCAACTCGACGGTCCATAGTGGTGCCTTTTCGCTCCTCTGTATTCTTGCTCCGTAGTCGACGGTCGAAAATCAACCCGTCGCTATCTGTACAAGTATCGCGTGCGCAGGCTGCCGCTGCAGTGGGGTATAAGTCCAGCTTCAAGCACCTCCGCCGCCGCCACCACCACCACCTCCTCCTCTTCCGCGACCGCGTCCTCGGCCCCTCATGCCTCTGCCCCCACCACGGTCGCCTCGGTGGTCTCCACGTCCATGCATGCCACCTCCTCGGCCGCCGCGATTCGCTTGGTCCTTGGCTTGCTGTTCCTTTACAACGTCGACGATCTCGTCCGGCACTCGGAGGTACTTTATCTGGAAACCGTCAGCAAAGCATACCAGAGAAGGAGATTGGAAACTGACTGTGCTACCGCGAACATAGATCTCTGGTAATCTCATGAACTTGTCGCCGTCGGCACTCGTCTGCACAACCTCTTTTAACGTCAGGTTCATCCATGTGTCGCAGTTGACAAGCAGCCCGTTCAGAGTTTCGCCGCTCTTCAGCTCCACGAGCATGGGATGGCCCGTCGCGGCCGTCAAAAGGCCCAGTGGAAGCTAAGTCGGGAGTCAACTAAGAAGTGGCAGTTGTTGGTGAGCTGGGTGACGTACCATATTGTCGCGCTATGAGTTTTCGCGATTGTGCCCGGCACGTAACCCAAGTAGTCTGGCGCAAGGGAGATGTCGCGACGCTGCTGAAGATGTTCCTAGTAGTGAGTGGGAACAAGGGCGGAATACGTAGTTGGCTTAGTGAACATGATCTCCCTCGTTGCATCGCAGGCCGCGAAAGCTTGGACCATAAACTCTTGGCGGAGCAGCCCTACGAATTACTATCCACTTCGGCAGCATCTCGATACATCCAGATGCGCGCATGTTGCATAGAACTGGTAGAGCTGGTAAACCACTGAGCAGTCCATCGTCTTCCAGCCAGGCCAGGTACCTCAAATGTGATACCACGCTCACATGAACACGGCCATCACCAGATGGCCGCACAGGGTTCTGGCAATCATGGCATTCATCACAACCACAATCACATACACTACACGATACGCATTTTTGCATGCTCACTCTAACTTGCCGTATCCCCGTGTTTCATCACGCTCCATCATGCATAGCGCTGCCAGCTGAATCGTGAGCGGACGTCTAAGCCACGCTCACGCTGACGGCAGCCACTAGCAGCTCCGCGCCCTCGTCCTCCAAAACGCCCTTCGACTGGTGCCTGATCCTCGAACCTTTGGGAACATCTGTCTCATAACCCGCCAAACTTCGCTCTCTTTGCGGGCCGGCGTTCTCGTGCGCTGTTCGAAATTTTGCTTTGTTGAAATCGTGTTCCTCGTTCTTTTCGATATGCGTTCCTTCAAGTCCAAAGTGCTGGCAGCGTGCGCGTGGGCGGCACCTGCATTCTCCGCCGTCATACCTCAACACGAACGTCAAGTTACTCGCCCGGACGGAAACCTCTTGCAGCTAGGTCCGCATTCTTCTTATACCATTCCACATTTGCCATCCCTAGGCAGCTACTGAACTTTGCTAGACCTTCAACAAAACTACGCGCAAGCTACCTTCAGTGTCCCCTGCACTGGATGTCTTGGCCACGATCACACGGGCCAGGATGACGAGTCTTTGGTAAGGCCACCTTCAGGCACCTAAATACCATCCCACCTGCTCACTTTTTTAGATCTTGAGCTTCGCAAGTCATGCCCAGGATCAAGCTTGTGGTTCTTCCAACATTACTCTAAACGGAGTTTATCTTCACCAAGAGTGGAACGGTGACTTCGCATCTGGCTCCGGATCCTACCAAGGCCTCACCGATCTCACACAGAATGAATGGTTTCTGCAGCGCGATTTGGATCTCGAATGGGAGACGGCTTGTCTTCACGCCACTGAGGAAACGGAAGCTGCCCAGGTAGTGACGGTCAACATCAAGGCCATCGACGGCAAGGCCATCGACAGACCTTCCGGTTTTACAATCTCCTTCAAGCAGCAAACATCACCCCCTTCCCTACTCAGACTTGAGGCTATTCCCAACCCCTCAGCGAGCAACAAGGACGTAGCTGAATCCTGGCGTGAACCCCCTCAATCTCTGCGTCTCGCCCTGTCCACCACCAACCAAACTTCCAAAGGAGAGGACAAGGCCCAGTCACTTGAAGACAGAATCCGCGAGTTGAAAGCCCTTGAGATAGAACTTGAGGCAATTCAGTCTCTCATCGCCGAAAAGAAGAAGCAGATTCATTCGCACTTTCGGCAAGAAGCGCAAGAATTGTCGCACGAGTTGAGTGAATGTGACGGCATCTCGTGCATCGTCAAGACTATTGCCCACAAAGCTCACGGCGCTTGGAAAATTGTGTCTTTTCACTTCAAGCCCGGCCACCAATCGAAAGACATGGGTAGTTCTGGGGAAACGTTTGCGCAAGCACATGGTCATGCTGCACAGGTAGCACAGATGTCTGGAGACCACCTGAAGGTTGGATCGCCAACGCCCCACGTATACGAGGCGAAAGCGGTATGTGATCCCTTTGCTCTGCCCTGTTGGAGACGAATAGCAAGTGGTTGATACTGATGTTGCATAGAATGAACTTCCACCCCGGCCATCCAAGACATCTCCCTACCTTCTCGCCCTCGAGATCACTCTGGGTGTTCTGTGCTGTGGCTGCCTCGTCGCCGTAATCCGGCACAAGTGTAGCAGCCTGAGAACAAGGACTGAGCGCGCCGCCGCTCGAGAAGAACGCCTCAACGCTCGCGCTTATCGCCGGGCAGCTCGACAACACGCATGGCGCAGCTGGTGGCGCGGCAACTGGGCTCGACGAGACAACCAGCGTATCGCGGACTACGAGGAGAAACGCGCGCTGATCTCAGAACAGGAGAGTGTGCTGGAGGACGCGATGCAGGAAGAAATCAGGCAGTTGAGGGCCGCGCATGTCGTAGTGAATGATCTCGTAAGAGATGCTGAAGAAGGACGGGCCATCAATCGCACACCCTGCGATTGTCAACGCCAACAGTCGCGGGCACCATACTCGCCCCTCTCCACAGCATCGACCTACCCACCTACCTCATTACCCGAGATTCCCTCTAGGCCGCTTTCCCGAACAGAGAGCCTACCAAGCTATCGCTCAGGCACGCCCACAGAGCCGCCGAGTTATGATTCGGATCTCGAGGCGTCAGACGTCGTAGCCAACGGCTTCAGGCACTACGCGACTGCGTCTACCACCTCCGAACGAAGCTCGCATTGGACACCCGACAGCAGTGTCGTCGATGTAAGCCCCAGGCCGAGCGCGGAAACGCTCAGGTACCCAGTGAGCATATTGACCCTTGACGAAGAGTCGGACGCTGATTGAGGACGTAAATCCTCATAAACGCAAATGCACACCAACCCGTCTTTGGAAATTCATACCCGGTATCTACCAAATGGAAGTTTTGATCCTGTCGGCAGACATATTTCCTCGGTCTACGCAGGAGATTGCACTTGCTGCACACTCATGCCCGCGTCGCGAGTAGATGCAGCAAGCAGCTCTTGGTGTTTCTCCTGTCAAATGTTCCTTGACTTGGAGACAATTTCCCTGCTTTGGCATTTTTCCACGCAACTTAAGCGCTTTGTCGATTCGGCGTAAGGATTGGCCTACAGTAAGCGTAGTTTTTGGTAACATTACCAGCTTCGTTTGAAGCGATGTTGACGCAAAGCTTTTGTCGCGATCAACGGGTGGTCAGAGGACATCACCCACTAATATCTTCACGTCCTCATGTATAATACTAGGCCTATAGGCTCAGGGGGGATATATACAATCAGGGAGCGTTTTTCACGGTCAAAGTAGCTGCTACATGCGTAAGATTTGCATCACTAGCAAACTCAGTAATATCAATCCATTGGAACAAACACAATCTCCATGCTTGATATCGCAATATAAAAAATGGCGTTTGTTATACAATTGTAATTCAGCTCCGCTCTGAGCGGCCTATCTACATAATGTACAAGTACGTTCCCCACAATCGCCCGCTTTACCGGTTCCGCAGGTACCAGTTGAACGCCAACTGACCTGTCTCAATGTGGAACGGCGTCGGTACCTCAGCCAAACCCGGTCTGGCGACCGGGTGTCTCAGGTACACAGCAGCGCAAATGTTTTGGTTGACCTCGAGATATCGCGGGATAAAGGCAAACGCGCTCATGTAGTCCCTAGGCCGCCATGGCGTCGCGTAAGGCGCTTGAGCATCCCGCCTGTTCCACGCCGATGTGTGTTCAGTTTCTAGTCTGAGTTTCTCGAAGGCGGAGCGGAGACGCGCTTGGTCTTCTTCTGAGATGAGGGGTTCGGCGACAGACGCGTCTTTAGAAGAGGACGATGTAAGGGCAGCGGAGCGCTCGGCGATTTGGTGTTTGAGGAATTCGAATTGTGTGTCGAGTGTGGAGATGGTCTCTGGGTTTGCGGTGCGCCATAGACTTATTGCTTTCTTAACGCTCTGGCGGAAAGCTCGGAACTTTTGCTTGTCTTTGGCTTTGACGTCTTCGGCGAGGACACCATCAACTTGCTCCATCAAGTCCTGTAGCTGCTTTTTCAGCTCGGTGGGTGTGGGTTCTTCGCGTGTGGACGAGGAGATGACGATGTCGTCATCTTTCTGTTGCTTAGGCGTCTGTCCACCACTTTGCTCGCGGGCTTCGGCACGGGCGGCGGCCTTTTCTTTAGCGATACGACGTGCAGTCGATGAGCGTTCTTTTGGGGCACCAGTTGCGAACATGACGGAGGAGGGCTCGACTTGGAACATGTCGCCTGGGTTGAGTGCGTAACCGGGGTAGACCATCTGCATGCGAGTTAGCTGCGAGGACATTCAACGTACGGAAACTGACGCACCTTCTTGCCATTGACCTTGACTAAGCCGTGGACAACGAATTGCCTGGCCTGTCGGACACTGCTTGCGAACAGCGCCCGGAAGATGGCTGTGTCCAATCTCCTCTCCAATGGGTAGTATGCCATTTGCATGTATGGTGTCATTGGTGGTGTCCTCGCCTTGTCCGGCGAATCTGCACCCATTCCTCGTCCAGCCACCTGTTCTGAACCATCGTGCCGGGCGAGATATCTATGGTCCATGGCCACTACCGCTGGCAGGTTCCGCTTGAACATGTGCTTCCACTTCTTCTCTCGTATGTGTTCGCCATGGTATGCTCTTGTAGATGCCTTGGCCGTCCATTTCTGCTGGAAATACGTTCGACTGACGACGTTTGGAGCCTTAAGTTGTGATAGAGCGTATAATGACCATCGTGACCAGTTCTGGCGGACGTTCTGCAGCCTGTCAGCTCGCCACTCTATCCGGCTTCAACGATAGCAATCATACCAGCTTCTTCAGCGAATGGAACCTCGGCTTCTTCCTCGGCATGGTGAAGGCGGATCAAGAATAGGTGATATTGTTACAATAGCGGCCCACGCGGCGAGCGTAAATCTGGATAGTGGTCCGTGCCCGACTGCATCGAAAATTCCCCACTAAGAACCATAGCTATCTCTCACCTGGCGCCTTTTTCTCTCCAACAACCTCCAACCTCTTTGTCGCAAACTTAAAACCGCCCTTCGCAGCTTCTAATCACATACGCGACTCAAGCTGCACACATATTAATCATGGCAGACCAACAGACTACTGCTGCACCAGCCGCAAATCCCGCTGAAGTCTCCAAGACTGAGAGCACAGCCAACGTCCAGTCTGAGTCCAAGACTGAAACCTCTGACTCTAAGCCTGAGGAGAAGGCCAACAAGACCGAAAACGGTGAGGAGAAGTGGGAAGTCAATGGCAAGTCCGAGGACAAGAACGGCCGTCGCAACGACCGTCGCGACGGTGGCCGTGGAGGTCGAGGCGGTCGCGGTGGTCGAGGCAACTTCCGCGACAACCGCAACAAGAGGTGCGCCCAGTTGTATGAGTCTGCGTCTTTTAGTGTTAATCTTTGCGCAGGCAGAACAACCAAGAATTTGACGATCTTCCCGAGTCCGACGACCCCAACGATATCCGCGCCCAAGTATGACTCCCGATTTCCACTCCATGGTACGCCTTACTAACACTTCCAAGGTCGAGTTTTACTTCTCTGCACAGAACTTGGCAACCGACGAGCACATGTTCAAGGTGCTCGAAGGTCCCAAGAACACTCCTGTTTCTATCCACCACATCTGCACCTTCAAGCGCATGCGCCACTTCAAGCCTTACTCCGCTGTTGTAAAGGCACTCCGCGAGAGCAACGATCTCGACGTCGTTGATGATGGCGAGTACAGCAAGGCTGGCAGCGAAGCCGTCAAGCGCAAGGAGCCGCTTTCCGTCCCCACCAAGGAAAGTGACGAGAAGAACCCACCTACCACAGAGGAGCTCTTTTACCGCTTGAAGAACAACTCATCCAACAACATGGAGCGCAGCGCCTACGTTAAGGGCTTCGGTAGCGAAGACCAAGCCGGCCAGATTGCGCTCGAGAAATTTTTCCGTCCTTACGGCGCAGTCATGGTCCGCAAGCGCCGCGAGAATGATGGTGCCTGGAAGGGCAGTGTCTTTGTCGAGTTCGACTCTGAGGACTCCCAGAAGCAGTTCCTCGAGCTTGACCCCACACCCAAGTTCAACGGTAACGACCTTGTTACCATGGGCAAGAAGGAGTACATCGTCATGAAATGCCAGGAGAAGGGCATCAAGCCCGACTGGGAGCTGACCGAGGAAGAGAAGTACCAGCAGCGCAAGGCACAACGCGAGGCCAACGGCGACTTCAGCCGCAGCGGTCGTGGAGGAGGTCGTGGAGGTCGTGGACAGGGTCGCGGTGGACGCGGTGGACGTGGTGGCAATGACCGTCGCGACAACCGCCGTGACCGCAACCGATCCCGCTCTCCCCGTAGGCGCCGCGATCGCAGCGCTTCAAACGGCTCCGTCGACGCTGACGACTGGAACAAGCGTCGCGACCGCTTCAAGGATGGCAAGGACGACCGCGCCAGCCACAAGGAGGACAAGAAGGAGATTGAGCGCGATGCTCACGGTGTTCCCATTGTCAAGGACACCTCCAACAAGCGCAAGGCCGATGACGGCGAGCCCCAGGGCAGCCCCAAGAAGAGCAAGCTTGAGATCAAGCAGGACGAGTAGAGATGATTTGTCTACTCAGTTCCTGTGCATTCACAACGTTTGTTTCACTCTATGGAGATGATTTGAAGTATGTCGATGGAATATTTTTGCATTTGGCGGCGTTGAAGGACTATTATATTTCTACGGTCATCACTATGATACCTACTGGGTTTGGGCAAAAGTTTCTTTCTCTATCTCATGGATGAACCAGTCCAACTGTATATGGTATTCGTAGATACAGTGTCTTCGCTGTGCAGACATGTAGTTGACGACGCATGAGTTCGGTAAGATGAACGAATAGAAACATCATCATCACATCGGGTTTCTGTATAATGTTTCTTATGACTAGTGATGTAATATTGTGTGATTTATCTCACTTGACCCCATCCCTCTCAGCCCCGCACACTGAACCTTCAACCCAAGCTCGTGATCTTCTTTCCCCCATTTGGCAACTTAACCCTCAACACTGCTCCTGGAAAGCTCCTCCCATCAACACCCTCATTCCAATTTGGCTGATACGGCAATTGGTTGATGTTCATATAAAGGTAGCCGTCTTCACCAATCGACGCTCCATCCGGCCAGATGATACGTGGATCTCTCACAAAAGGCTCTGTACGCAGCGTTTCCGGGTTATAAACATGAATTGCGTTGTGCTCAGGCATGCACTGATAGACCAAACCGTTGTTATCGCCTTCGAAGCCATTTGCGTTTCCGCCCCGCTGACCAAGAGTCGTAACGTTGTTCGCGGCCATGATTTCTGCAAGGGGATCCGAAGAGGGTGTGAGGAGGTTTGCGGCGGGGACAGAGTACAGATAGTTTGATGTCAAGGGGCTGTAGTAGATCGTCGAGCCATCGGCACTGATCTGAATTCCGTCAAGTCCCTCTCGTAGCGTTTGGATAGGCTGACCGATTGTACGTTGGTAAAACGGGTTGCCTTGGTAAGAAGGTACGTCGCGATCTACGCGCAGTGTAGATGGGTGTTGCGTGAGTCTTCTCCAACTTTTGCCAGTACCTAGGTCTAGGATGATGAATCCGGGTCGTCCTTCGTCGCTGCTGTCGACAATGTAAGCGACGCCTGATCCGGACGCCGTGGTGTTTGGGCGCAAGTCAAAGCGGATGTCGTTCATGTAGGAGTCCGGGAAGTGGACGCTAGGTGGAAAAGTGTAAGTCGCGTAAACGCTGTCGTTTGCTAAATTGATACCGAGGATCTTGGGTCCGCCGGGTTGCGCGTATGGCATCGATGGTGCGCCAGTTGCGTCCATAATGGTGGGTCGTCCTAAAAGTTACATTTACGGAGTCAGTGTATATCTCACGTATAGTTAGTACAGGAACATTTCTTACCTGTGTCTACTACCCAGAGTGTCTCAGGTCTTCTGTCATTTTCTGGAGTGATGTACAGGGCTTGTACGCTGATCAGCCCTGTGCTGTTCCCACTACCAAAAGGGATGCCATTCCAGCTCGTGTTCAGCTGTGAAACAGGAAGATTGAGGCCCGCGGACGGATATGGTACTTCGGCAGTTTTGTTGACGACTTCGCCGAGTGTATAGGCGTAGCTGCCGCGTGTGTAGGTCGCAAAGAAACGGCCGGCGGATGAGATGGCGAGACCTATAGGCCATTGCGAGTAGTAGTAGTGGTACTCTTCTATCTCCGGGCCGTATGACCCTGTATCGACTCGCAGAATTGAATCGCTGCTGTTTTGAAAAGTGACTTGCGCAGCTGCACTTGCTGTTAAGGCAACCACTGAGAGGATTGAGGATCGCATCTTCCACGTGATGCTCTCTTAGTGCTGTAATGCGGTGGCTTTCTTCAACAGTGGACATGGGACAAGCTTCATATATAAACAAGCATTTACAGCTTCCTCCCGCTTCTGCATCGTGATGTCAGCCATTAACGAACGTCATACCTTACATGCTCCTTACGTGGATGCCGGGTGGTACATGCTAACAGCAACGGCAATTAGGTTCCATGACGTTGAGCATTTTCGGGTTTAAGCTTTCCCCGGTCGTACCTGCATGAAGCGGCTCTGCCGATCGTGGTGATCACGCAGATAAATGATTAGATGATCACCAGAGTTGTGGGTCAGAAAGACAAGTTGTAAAATATGCTGTTTACTTTGATTCTCTTGCTCTAATGTAAAACTACGGAAGAAATTTGAGAAGATGATGCGGTTTTTGATATCGTGCTACTGTACAACACAACCAAAATTCGCGCCTACCAACGCCCTTTGAAGAAAGCTTAACCTCGGCGGCAATGCTTTAGAGCCAGAAAGAGAATAGAGAGGTGCTGAGCCAACAAGTAACCATGGCTTGCAGAGTCAGACCCAAAAGAACAAAATATGAATCAACAGGTGTCGAGTTATCGAACCTTAGGAAGAAACTACAGGAGCACAGTGAAGAGTCACTCTACCGTCCACTTTTGCTGGCCCTCCTCTGGCTAGGGCTGCCCACAAAGCTGCCTCGTGGACTCCGGCTAATTGCCGGCATGAGGGGCTGCTTCTCCATACCCAGCTTCCTCTCAAAGATGCGTCCGACAAGCGCTTGCACGCTTCTTTGTACATCGGGTGCCATTTCCGTACCTAGAAGCCCAACGACGAGCGGCGCAAAGAGGTCGATGTTCTTTTCGAAATCAGTGTCGGGCAATCCAGTGTATCCGTCCAGCACGGTGACGACAACGGGGCGCCAAGTGACGATGTTGCGTTGTTGTGTTTCCTCGTCAAGATCGACATAGGAGGCAATGATGTCCTCGCAGAGCGGGATCAGGGCGGCTTCGGTATCGGCGCGTGAGGCGGCGCGGTCGTTGGATGTGTCGTGGTACATTCTAAATAGAATGCTAACGTACACCGACGCCGATCCGCTCTCCTGCTTGAGCAGGTTTGGCGGTTGCTTCATGAAACCTTCCCTAAACAAACGTGATCGCAGATCGCGATTCGCATTGAAGCGCTTAGCGAAGTGGTACGACTTCTTCAGTACGGCCATAAGGCGGAGGAGTTCACCAGAAGGTATCTTCTCGTAGACAGCCTCATTTGTGAAGAGCTCTTGTACCGTCTCGATCATGAGAAGTTGTAGGACGCATTTCGTGATGATCTGGTTGAAGAAGCGACGGCGAGCGGCGGTGACGACCACGGGTGGTTGCTGGAGGGTCTGATCGTCGGGACGGTAGTCTTCCAATTCCTGAGTCTGGCGCTTGGGCAGCGGCGATGGCATACGCTGCTCAACGCCGCCACTGATGCTCGCAGAGTCTGAGGTCACTAGGGATGGTCGTCTTGCGCCAGATAGGCCATTAATTCCAGGCGCGTTGTCCATTTTCGGTTCTTCAGCAGGTGTTTGGAGCGAGAGTTCGCCAGGTGGTCCGTCACTAGTGGGAGTTGTCAAATCTGATGTCTTACCAGTACCGTTCGTCGAATTCGTCTGTGCAGATGAACCGCCGGTCGCAGCAGAGAACAGTGCTGTTGCTTCAGTCCTTTGGAAGAGGTCGACAAACGCCTTGACGATCTGACTCCAATGATCAGCCTGGAATTTCTGAACGTTTTGCAAAATCAACTGTTGCAAACAGTTGCTGCCGATGCGCGCTAGGGTGTCGTTCTCTTGACATATACAGAGGGCAAGGAGATCCAGGAACCGATCGAGCATGTACTCCAGCGAATCGAAAAAGTGGGTAAAAAGTTTGATCATGTTGCGAAGAGCTTGGATCATAGTAGTCGAGAGCCATACTGAAAGCTCCTCATGATTCAAAACCTTTGTCATCTCCGACTTTGACTTCAGCACCATGAAGATGGGGTACAGAAGCTGTCGCCAAAGCATGTCCCAGAAATCCCGTGGAAAGTCGCCACCATAGCTGATCAGAGTATCGAACAGGTATTGCAACGCCCTTGATCGGACCTCTAGATCCTCACCAGTCATCAGGACGTCGTGGAAGGCGAAGAGAACTGGGAACCAGAACTGCTCTTCCTGCGTTTGTCGGCTAGGTTGCTTGGGTATCGAAGAGCCCTTTTCTGAATCTTTCAAATACCCAGCACGGGCGGATAGAGAGCACTCGGGTGTCCGTAACATCTTGGGCACGGACGACTTGAGCAGTTCTATTGCTTGTAGCGATTTCTTCTGGAACTTGAAGTTCTTTGAGAATTCCGTGAGACAAACAATAAAGTCTGCGAACGCGCCTTGCGAAATAACTACGCCAAAGCGCGTATTGTATACCTGAGTGACGTTCTCGAATGCGAGGTTGACGATACCCTCTGCTATGTATCAACAGCTGTACAGACTAGAATGGAGGAATAACATACCGTACGGTTCCCTGGCGGCCACAGTGAAGACCCCGAACATCGTCTTCCAGCCAGATCGAATATTCTCACCTCGCGCTTGTATCATCTGAATCAAGCAACGTAGTACCATATCCTTGACTGAGACGACATTTGTGTTGTTAATGATGTGCTCGAAGGGTTTGAGGAAATCCTTCTGGAACTTGAAACCAGGCAGTTCTTCAATTTCCATGAACTTCATCGAAAGTTGCCGTAGTGAGTTGAGAGCAAAGTAGACGACATTAGTGTTGGTGTGGCATCCGACCTCATTGAAGTGAGCGCCAAGCACCTGCCAGATGTTGGTCCACTCAAAACGAACACGCGTCATGTTGTAACCACTAATCTCCACGAGCTTCTGCAGACTGTAAGTGCGAGGTGACTCACTTTGCCCAGACGACTGGATCTCTTGCCAGCTGACTTGAACAAGCGCTTTCACAAAGTCTACGATAGCTTCACCAGACAGGTTCGCACTATTGGTAAAGATGCGGTCCACTCCTCGGACGATGTCGGTGGACCGACTCTCCTCAGCTACTTCGGAATGGAAGCTCATGGTGCTCGCTTGTGATTTAGGTCTTTGACGATTGGCCGGAACGTTGAGATTCTTACGCGACTGTGCCGTGCCTGAATTCGACTTGAGCACGTCGGGCACGGCACGTTCATCGATACCAGAAGAGATGAGTTGGAAACGGTCCAACTGTGAAACACATGTGAGAACCTCACGCCAGGA